ACACATGTCAGTCAGGTATCTGTTGGATAAGCAGTGGGGACACCGTGCCTCCCCAGAGCCTTGCTGTGGCCCAGGCCACACCTTGCTGTGGCCACAGTTGATCCTGCATGAAAGCAAAGCAGGGGACACCCCTGGGAACTGCCAGGTTCTGAAGGAGGGGGCAGGTGTCCCAGGACAGCATAAAGTTTGTAGAAATGATACCACAACCGTGCAGCGTGTTTGCCACCCCCCCCCAAACCTAGCTCCTTGTGCCGTCGGGAAAGTTGGGTTCACCTCAGTGTCTGGCCTCTAGTCCAGGCCTTGCATCTGCAGAGCAGGTACACAGCAGGTGCACAACAGGCCCCTTACAGGGCCGGGAACGCCAACAGCTCCACCAGAAAATGGGCAACTAGTGAGCTCCCTGTGGGTTTTCATGTGAGAACACTTTGATACTTTATACTTGGACCTTTTCATCTATCTTTTCTGAAGAATCTTCTACCTTTAAGCAGCTGCAGAGTCCACTAGCAGATCTGCAGGGATAGAGGTTGGGGGGCAGGTGCCCACCCTCCTGTGCCTTCCAGGGGTTCACAGCAGGGTGCTGGGGCCCCACCTGGTGGGGTACTAAAGGGGCGGGGGCAGGGCCTGGGGCACACAGACTCTTGGGGCTGTCACAGTGGGATGGGTGGCTAGCCAGTATGCCTCTGTGCCTGAGTGGGGCAGTGGCTGAGTCTCTGAGTTTAAAGCCCTACCTCTCTTTACTCCTGGAAGAGGCCATGGGACAGGCCCAGAAGGCAGGCAGAGCTGCCAGGAAATGGCATTGCCACAAAAGGTGGGCCAGAGGCAGGGAGCCCTGGCTTGGCCCCAGGCAGCAGGTGTGGCTAAGGGAGGGACCATGACTGTCCTAAGCCTGGGCACCCCCACCTGTCCCCCGACCCGTGACCAGGACAACAGGCACAGCTGCCGCCGCCCCACAGGATCAGTCAGGTGACCCCTGGGCTGTGGTCTAGCCTCCTGTGCTCTCTGAGGGGGCCCCATGGGGGATAGTAGGGGCCCACCACAGACTCTGGAGCCCCTAGGTGCCTGCCAGGGCTGTATGCGGCGATGGGGCCCCAGGCAGGCCCAGGACCCATTAAATCCTTCCAGGATCAGGGCGGGGAATCATTATGAAAGCTGGGCATGGCTCCTTGCATCTGCTCGTTGCCGTGGTCCATGGACAGCCCAGTATCTGCCTCCCATGCCCAGGTGCTGTCCTGTGCTTGCTGCAGCCCTCCACAGCCCTCCACGCCCAGGAGCCTAGAGATCCTGACGTTACCCCTGGCAACGTGCTGACGCAGATGCCAGCGGGTGGGGGTGGGGGGAGGTGGTGGTGGTGGCTGTGGCTCGTTTGCCAGGCATGGGGGCGGGGGGCTCTGCCAGCCCGCTGTCAGAGAGAAGATGAGGACTCAAGAGCCGAGAGGGAGAGAAGACCTCTGAGGAGCCACGTCCAGAGCGTAGCACCAGGCCCCCAGGTTCCCTTAGCTTCTGCAAAAAACAGCATGGCTGGTTCTTGGCTACCTTGCCTTTGCTGGGGCCCAGGGACACTTGTGGGCCCTTGCAAAGAAGGCATGGGGGGCAGCCCCGTCCTGTTACCGATGGCTGCATTCGCCTTGGCTGGCAGGAGGAGGGCAGGGACACAGAGAGGCGGGTCGGTGGTGGTGATAGGAGCTGCCTGCAGGCGCCGGCAGAGGCAGGCTCTGCTCTCCGCCTGGCCCGGCTCTCCCCCGGGCGGCCAGCCCACCGTGGCGGCCAGCCGGCTGGAGGAACCACAGGGGCTATTGTCTTTCCTCGGCAGCCTGTTTGTTTTCCATCCTGAGATAGTGCTGGTAGAGCATGAAAGGTCACAACTATTTGGAATCCAGTGAATTTCCAGCCTCGCTTGAGTTTCTCATGAAGAATTTCCTTTTCTGGGGAACAAGAACCTCCCCAGGCCTGCGGAGACAAGGGTGGTGGCAGTGGTGGGGTACAGGCCTGGCTGCTAGCCCCTCCCTTTAGAAAATTCCCTGAGCAGCTCCAGAGCCTGGCTACCTATAGGGGGCAAATATAGGTCTTCCAGAAACCACGCCCCCAGCCAGGCCAGGGGTTGCCATCCCTGCCCAGGGCTGCTAGCCTTGTGCCCCTCAGGCACAGGGCCGGGAGTAGGCTAGAGATGTGAGGGCCTGCGTGGGGCTGCCTGTCCAGCCGTCTGTCCACCCGCCTATCTGTGCGGCCATTCACCAGCACATGAGTGGGGACCCATACGTAATGACAGGCTGCAATGGAGGGGCGTGCTGGCGCTGGGTCAGGGAAGGCCTTTCAAAGAGGTGACTCCTGAGATGAGACCTGAAGGACTGAGACAGGCAGAGGCAGGGTGGTCACACTCTTAAGGCTGGACACAGTAGAGCATGTGAGTGAAGCAAGCCCACGGAGGCCAAAGCAGAAAGGAGAGAGACAGTGAAGAGGTAGGGGATTGGCCAGGCAGAGCCCGTCAGGCCTCAGGCAGGAGAAGGCCTGGCTTTGGGCCCATCTTGGAGGACACTTGGGCCGCTTCCTAGTTGACAGGCTCAGGGAGCAGAGATGATAGCCAAATCCCTTCATGAGACCCGGGACCAGCTTAGGGCCCAGGCATCCCGCCTCCCACGTCCTGCCACACCTGTGGGCACAGGCTTGGCCAACAGAGCCTGCCAACAGACAGTGTGGGAGCCTGGCCCAGTGCTGAAGGAACCTGCCATGCTTGTGCTGAAGATGACAGATGAAGCAGCCTTGAGATCTAGGCCCCGGGAAGACACCAGAGCACAGGCTGTCACCAGCCTCAGGACACAGCAGAAACAGGCAGAAGCCCAGAGAGCTGACCACGGGAGCACCGTGTGGCTGGCAGACCTGCCAGCCAGACCTGTTCTGGGGCCTCACCTGGGCACCTGACCCTGGTCTTGCATCCTGGCCAGGTCAGCCCCAAGCCGTCCGCCCAGAGCAATGCCTCATCGAAGAGCCCGACTTCGCCTGTCGTCTGGGATGCTTCCTATGTCCAGAACCACACATGGCACTGAAGTGAGCATAGGCAGAAGAATAAGAGGAGCTAGAACCCCTAGAAACTGCATAGTGCTAGGGGCAAGACCGCCCTGCCCACAGGGAGCTGCAGGCTTGCCCTGCCCCATGGATGCAGTGTCCTCAGCCCAGACCCCTTACACTGTCACTGCCTGGCACAGCTCTGGAGAGAACCCTGGATGCACACAGGGCAGATGAGGGGAGCCCTGCTTCCTATCTCCATGACTACTTGAAGCTGTTTATTTCCCCTCCTTCAAGAGGCTGGACTTCCTTGGAAACCTGACGAAAGCCAAAGACCCTCTCTCCGTCCAGAAAAGCGCTCAGACACCCAGCACAGTGGCCACAGCCTGCAGCCACCCACAGGCTTTCTTGGGGCTGCAGGCTCAAGTAAGACTCCTGGCTGAACCCAAAGAATATAGCCACCACCTGCCTTAGAAAAGACTGAGTGAAGGACCAAGCCCCTTCCTTGCCATCACCCGGTCCCTTGAACCCTGGAGGCTGACCCTGCCCCCCATTTCCCAGCATGGTGGGTCCCCCACCATGACCATCATCACCCCAACCCCTGCTAGCCCACCGCCTCCCCAAGCTGCTGGCACCCACAGTCCTACACCACTTACAGCTGCTTGCAGACCCCTGTTTGCCCCCACGCCCCTCACCCCCAGGATCAAAGGCCTCTTAAGGGCAGATTCCAGGTCTCTGCTCAGTGTTCCTGCCTGGCACAAAGCTTCCTCCACAGGGCAGCCTGGGTGGGGCAGCTCAGGCCTCCCCCATGCTATCCAGCTGCTCAGCCCCTACCACCACTCCTGGGCATCCAAGGACACTATGGTGCCTTGTGACCTGGGCCTTCTGGTTGAGGGCTGAGCTTGTATCGTGTGGCCACCTCCTCCTTGCCAGCGGTCTAGCTTCCTTCCCTGCCCAGCAGCTCCCCCTTGAGCCCCCACTGGCTCAGCACCAACCCTCGTTGCTCCTTGGCCCCTCCTTGCACTGCCCCCACTCTCTGGGGCATCCACCTACCACCTGCCTTTGACCTCCTCCTCCACACAGTAGTCCTTAGCCAGGGCTGAGGGCCTGACAGACTCCCCACACCCACCCAACCCCTGGGGATTAAACCTCAGAAACAGTTCTGAACCCTGTCACCACCAGACTCCCAGGATCCAGTTGGGGTTGTGGGGCTGTGGATGCAGTTCCCAGGACCCAGCACAGTGCCTGGGATTGGTAGAATTTCTGTGCATTTAGTGAACTGCTACACGGACCAACACCTGAATGCCTGGCCTGGGCCCTGTTCCCACTCCTGTCTGGCAGAGCTGTCAACCTCCCTCCCAGCCTCCGGGGTTATTCCCCCAATGCACCTGACTGCCCCCCAACCTCATGGGAACAAAGCTCCTCACAGGGCCCAGCTTCCCCTTTCTCCTCCTTGGTGAGCCTTCCTTGACACCCAGGTGTCCAAGAGCCCCTCCTCTGGGCTCCAAGCAACTTGCCCTTGCAGCTGAGGAGCGGGCCCCACTCAGCAGAGGGCGGCCCTCCATGCCCTGAGTATTTCAGGCATGGGGTATGGGCTTTTGTGGCACTGACGTCAGGCCACCTGGGCACCTTGGGGTCTCTGAGCCCCTCGTCAGCAGCTGGGTGAAGGGCACCCCTACCTGGTGGAGCCTGAGGGTATGGTGATTACTCAGAGGACATTCAGAGCGCTGAGGGCCTGCCGGGGCCCCAAGGTCAGAATGGGACCTGTCCATGCTAGGGTGGCCACTGAGAGAGCTGACAGCAGGCGCTACCCCAAGGTCCTTGAGTGCCCATGATGGCCACCACGCCCCATACCATGCTCCCTGGACAGTTCCTCACCACCACGGCTCCCCCTCTGACTGCAGCCTCTCCGGCTGTGCTGGCCCATACCCCCAAGCCCACCCACTTCCAAGGAGCCAGCAGTGGCAGCAACAAGTAGAGGAAAAGCCCGGCACACTCACCGTCTGGTTGTCCTCGTAGAGCTTCAGGTCATAGCCACTAAGCTCCACACAGAAGATGATGGCTGTGACGCCCTCGAAACAGTGGATCCATTTTTTGCGCTCCGACCTCTGCCCGCCCACATCTACCATCTTGAAGGTGAGCTCCTTGAAGGTGAATTTGTTCTCCACGATGCCCGTGGTCATGTCCCGGGAGCGCAGAATGTCCTCAACGGTGGGGATGTAGTCGGGTGCGGCGATGCGCTCCAGGTCGTTCAGGTAGTAGGCGGCGTTGTCTTCCAGGTGGTACTCGCTGGAACGGCCAAAGCAGGCCTGCGCCCCTGGGTCGGCCCACAGCCGCCGCATGACGCCCAGCAGCTCGGGGGTGATCTCGCCCTTGCTCTCGGCGGGGCCCGTGAGGGCGAAGAGCTGGACGGCGTCGTAGGCACGGTCCGGGTTGTGGAAGTCGATCTTGAGGGCAGCCAGGGCACGGATGATGCGCGTCAGCGAGTCGATGGCGTTGTAGATGATGAGGGGCTTGTACTCCTTGCAGGCCTCCAGATTGAAGCCCCCGCTGTGGATGATCTTCATCTGCTTCACGATGGTGCTCTTGCCGGAGTTGCTGGTGCCCAGCAGGAGCAGCTTGATCTCACGGCGCTGCCGCTGGCTCTCTGAGCGCAGATGGCGGTCAATTCTCCGGGACCGCCGCGCTGCCTCTTTCTCCTCTGAGCTTTGCCGACATCCCATGGTCCGGCAGCGGCGGGCCCAGATACAGAGCACGGGACGGGGTGCCTCTCCCTGTTGCCACCAAGCAGGGGACGCTGAGATGTGAGCCGGGTGTGCCCCGCAGACGGAGCCCTGCTGCCCTCGAGGCGCTCAGCGTGGGTGGGGGGGCAAGGCCATGCCACACTGCAGCCCCTGCCCCAGCACCTCTTCTCCAGCTGGCATGGTGGTCGCCTGGGGGGAGGAGGTGGCCAGGCCCTCCCTCTAGGGCCACTCCACCTGCCCAGGCCACCGTGGGACCCGATGGGCTGCAGTCATTCCCTGTCCTCCCGGCGGTGGGAAGCTGTACTCTAGCGTCTGCCTAGGCTGCTGCCGTCGGGCTGCCGGTTGCTGCGGTGGGGCTGCTAAGCGTGGCTGCAAGGCCAGCCACCAGTGCTGCGGGCGTTCCCTGCGGCCCCCCTGCCTTGGGCATCCGCCCTTTACCTGCCAACACAGAGAAGAGGGTGAGCCTCCTCCCACCACAGGCCTGGTGGTAAAGGGAGACCTCGGACCTTGTCGGGAAGCAGCCCAGAGAACAGTGAATCAAACCCCCTCCCTTCTTCAGACCTCTGCTGAGTTGTGCCCAAACCCACAGCGAAACAAATGTGCCTGGGAGCCACGCCCCGCACCAGTGTGCCTGGAGCCTGGTGCTTGAGGAAAGCGTGCCCAGAGCCATACAAGGACTTTAACCTTAGGGTTTTCAGAGTGAGGGAGTGAGCCTGGGGCCCTGCCGCTCCTCCCTGCCCACTGGACCCGGCCAACCTCACCCTCTCAGAACCTCAGTCTCTGGGTCTGGTGGTGGTTAGGATTCAATACAACGATCCTACTGTGATGTCCTCCCCCCACCTCCCTCACTCTTTCCTGTAGCTGCAGGGGCTGTACCCACATGTGCCACAGCATCAATGGGGCTTGACTCCTCCTTGGTTTATGGTGGGGTCCCATGCCAGAGTAACTGGGTAATCCCCTCAGCACCTCTCGTGGGAGCTGGGTCATTCCTGCTCTCTCTCAGGGCAGGATATTCACATGGAGAAGGCTGGCCAGGGCTGGTCTAAGCAGACAGGCAAGGAGCAGAGCAAGGCAGAGGCCCTGGGCTGGGAGCCCACAGGGTGGACAGAAGCCTTGCTCTTGGTGGGTGAGGTAGCAGTGCGGGAGGAGAGGGGAGACATGGGCAGGGTGGGCTGAGTTGGGGTAGCAGGGGTTATGGGGTGCAGGGCAGCAGCCAGGTGTGGGAGGCAAGCCAGGACAGAGTATATCTGAGGGCACTGGGAATCGCTGAGTCCAAGACAAGGCAAGGGGGCAGTCCACAGGCTCTGAGGTCCCAAGCCGTGTCTTTCATGTCCGTGCTCCCACACTGATGGTCAATAAGGAACAGCTGTGCTCACACCCTGGGCAGGGTGTCAGCACCTCAGCACCCAGCTCTCAGCTGCAAGCTCTTCCCAGGCCTCTCCCAATGACCTATGAGCCGCTGGGCCAGGGCCCTCCCCACCAGGGCAGACCCAGAGCTCAGGCTCTGCCCCCACCTGGCAGCCTGCCCCACACAACTCTTGCCTCCTTCCTGCAACCTCTGCCCTGGCCTGGCTGTCTCTGGCAGCCTCCTCATTCTGCTGTAGCCAGCCTTCACCCCTCCCCTCTCAAGCCCCTACCTGCCTCATGGCCGGCCCTGGATGGGAAGGACCCAAGGCCAACAGACCCTGAGAGCCAGGGGCCTCATCTCGTTTCCTCAACCGTCCATGCTCCCAGATGGCCTCTGTGCCTGTCAGACCCAGCAGTTCTGCTCTGAAGCAGGCCCTGAGGCCTGTTCTTTCCCTGGACCCACCTGCCTCCATGGCCAGGGGGCCGGCCAGCACCTCTCATGCTACCTTTCCCCCTCAGTTGAACCTTCATGTGCACCCAGTGCTTCCAGGATGATAAGTCTCATCCCAGCTGCGTGGCCTGTGCACTTGACTCCACATTACAGAACCTGTCCCTCACCAGTCTCGAGCATCTCTTAGGGGTAGAGCATTCAGTGCAGGGCCTGGAACCCAGCCAGGGGCAGCCAGTACCCCAGTGTCCTCATCACCTGTGATTGTCCCTTAGAACCAAGCATGGCCTGTGTGCTCAGCCCTCGTCCCCTGGGGCCTGGGGGCCGTGCAGTATCCTGCACACCACAGGCACGCAGTGAGCACAGATGGGAGAGAGGCTTAGGCATGAAGAAGCTGAGGAACTCTGCCCTTTATCCACAGTCCCACTGGACCGTGGGTGGGGGACATGCCCGCCATGTACCTGCCATGTGAGCAGAGGTCAGGGAAGGAATTCAAGCAGCAGTGAGTTCTAGGTTGTGAGATCACAAGGGTCTTTTTATATTTTCTTCCTCTTCTTTGCATTTTATCCTATTTCATATCTTCTTGAATGAACTTCTAAGAGAGGTTTGTAAACAAGTATCAGGGCATTAACAAGGCCCTGTCTCTCATGCCACCCACGCTTGCCTCTCTCCATCCTGGACTATGAGAGTGTGGAACAGGGACCTGGTGGCTGCTCCCTGGGTCCTGCTGATGAGCCGGCAGGCCCTCAGGTGTCGAAAGGAGTCCAAAATCCCGCAGCTGCCCAGGGAGCCTGGGGACCCCACTGCCAGTGCCCTCCCTCCTGAAGGCAAGGCCAGCCATGCTGGTGGTGCCCCATGTTGTCATTATTGTTTTCCTTAATTTGTGTTTGAGAATCTGAGGTATACTCAGGTCCCAAGTGGCCAGTTCTCCCTGGGCTGGTCAGTGATAGGGACAAAGGTCACACCTGAAATGGCAGGTTCCTACCATCGTTCACTGCCACCTAGACAAGCAGCAACCAGGCACCAAGTCTACATGCCTCGAGGCACCCTGCAGTGACCTAACTCTTAGGAAATGGTCTAGCCCAAATTGGTGACACAGCCTGGGGTTGTGCTGGAAAGTCCCCTGCCTCCATGTGGAGTTACACCCAAACGGACCAAAACATCGGCCACATCCTCCCAGTGCCATGCATGATGGCCCTGTGGCCAGATTCTTCTCAAACCCAAATCCCTCCCCTTGCAGCTTGGGCCTGAGGAGCCTGCCAAGCTGAGCACAGGGCTGTCCTCTGGAGGGCTGTCTCGGCCAGCTGGGGCTGCTGCTCCTCAGTGGCCCCTTGCCTTGCTCCTGTACCGGAACCCCACCTGATCTTCACAGGTCAGCTCACGAGTGCCTGCCACCCCACCATCAGGGCACCCTGTCGCCACCTGTGGCCTGGGCCTCTCTCCTCTGTGCCCTCCCTTTCTCTGGTTTCTCCTGCCAGGCTGGGGTTTCCTTAGAACAATGGTGATGCCCTTACTGAACACCAAATACAAAAATTAACTTAAAATGGATCAAATACTTAAATGTAAGACCAAAACTATAGCAATCTGAGGAGAAAGCATAGGTCAAGAGCTGCATTGCATTGCATTTGACGATGGTCTCTTGGATATGACACCAAAGGTCATAGACATCAAAAGGAAAAAAGAGACAAACTGGACTGCATAAAAATTACAAAATTTTGTGCAAAAAAGGCACTATCAACAGGTAAAAAGGCAAATACAGCCTGGAAGCAAATACCTGCAAATAAAATAAATTTAAAAAAATAAACAAAATTAAATAAATAAAAAATAAAGGGTTAATATCTATAATATACAGAGAAGTAAACCTCAGCAGCAGAACAAATGACCTGACTGGAAATTGGGTGAAGGACTTGAACGCACATTTCTCCGAAGAAGATAAACACATGGCCAGTAAGCGCATGAAAAGATGCCAGGTAGCACTGAATGTCGGGGCAGTGAAGATCAAAACCACAGTAAGACACCACCACGCACCCAGAAGGATGAGTACTATATTTTTAAAACAACAACAACAAGAAAAGGATGAACAGAAATTGGCTCCCTTATGTACTGTTGGTAGAAATACAAAGTGGTACAGCTGCTACGGAAAACAGGAGGGTGGTTCTTCCTCAAAAAAACTAAAAATAGAATTACCAGCAATTCCACTTCGGGTATACACCCAAGAGAATGGAAATCAGGGTCTTGGAGAGATTTTTGTACACCTGTGTTCACAGCAGCACTAACTGCGACAGCTAAGAGGTGGCAGCAACCCCAGCGCCAGCTGACAGATGAGTGGACACGTAAAGCACACACACAAAGGAGTATTATTCAGCCTTAAAAAGGAAGGACACCTGCTACAACAGGGATAACCCTTGAGGATTTCACACTCGGTGAAAGAAGCCAGTCACGAAAGGACAAATACTATGTCAATCCATGTCTAGGAGGTCCTTAGAGTTGTCAAATTCATAGAGACAGATGGTTGCACAGCATTATTAATGTATTTAAAACCATGGAACTGCAAACTTAAAAATGGCTAAAATGGTAAGTTTTATATTATGTCTATTTTAACACCAAAAAAAAAAAATGTCTTGTGGGTAAGCTACCCCAAAAATAAAAAGAGCGAGGAGGCCATGTGGTACAAGATAAAGAGGCAGGCCCCCTGCCTGGTCTTGGCTTCCCCCCACCAGTGGAGGGCCGTTTGGGGACCACATCATCCATTCTGTGGACTGGAATGCCTGACTGATGGCCCCCAGCTGGTACCAAGATTCGCCCACCTGGTCTTCAGTCCAAAGCCGCCCTGTCCAAGGAGGTGTGACTTGCGTTTTGGGGAGGTATGTGCTCCACAACCCCAAGGCCGAGAGCGGGGCTTCTGAGAATCAGGAGAGCAGTTTGGGGGCAGTGGGTGGGCAGCCTGGGGCTGGCCACGTGGTCCTTGACCAGTGCAGCCACAAGGCAATGTGGGAGTAAAGGGGAAGGAAACACAGCCGGGAGGCGATTGTGTGCGTCAGCCCAAGTCCAGGAACTTCTGCCATCTGCATGGGGCAGCCACCAACAGTCACATCTGAGGTGGGTCCCTCTTTTAGAGGCACCCTCTTCATTCAGGTCACCAGAACCAAACAAGCAGAAGGCCCACTCAGAATTCTTCCTACAGCTCTGCAGGGCTCAGCTATGTCCCAGAGCATATCAGTCTCTGTGCCTTGGAACTGGTGGCAGGAACTGGGCTGTGCACAGATACAGGGAGGGGAGGCCTGTGAACAAGTGTATGTGCCAAGGTCCAAAAGGGACCTCAGTTTATTCCCATTCTGAGGCTTGGCTTCTTTGCCTTTATGTGAGCTTTCTGCCAGTCCTCAGTCTGATCCAGGGCTTTACTGGGCCTCCTCAAACTCCCCAGTCAGCCCAGGGAAAAAGGACCAAGGGCTGGATGACCACATTGTTTCCTGGTTCGATAACTGCTCATGGGTCCCCAGTGCCTGATACCCTCAGTCCCCTCACCACAGGGTCTGGCTGGAAATTACTGAGGCTTCTGGGTCTGGCTTCTGGGTCTGGCTGGAAATTACTGAGGGATGGGTGAGTGAAAGACTGTACCAGGCAAAGGAAGGTCATGTGCAAA